GGTATCGGGTTTCTGTGTCCTGACCACCTCGTCCCTTCCCCACGCAGGCCTGGTGAAGGATGCGGCCAGGCCGGCGTACTGGGTGCCTGACCACGAGATCCTGCACTGCCACAACTGCCGCAAGGAGTTCAGCGTGAAGCTCTCCAAGCACCACTGCCGCGCCTGCGGCCAGGGCTTCTGTGACGAGTGCTCCCACGACCGCCGGGCTGTCCCCTCTCGAGGCTGGGACCATCCTGTCCGAGTCTGCTTCAACTGCAATAAAAAACCCGGTGACCTTTAACCCCAGCTCCTCCACGAGTCCTTCACAATTCCTTAGCTTCTCAGGGTTAGACACTGAAGTCTCATTGAGGTAGGCTCTCCTCCCGGCCACCTGTGGTGTGTCCCTTCCTCCTCTTGTCTAGGGCCACTTTCCCGAGGTGAGGGTGAGCCTGGCGGCAGGCCCGAAGACATAAGCCCCTCAGGCCGGGCGTGGACTGAGCAGCCCTGCGGCAAGGGGGAGTGAACCTGAATGCATTGCGTTTATTTCAGTTAAAAATATCAAAAGGTCCGTCTCCATAGTACATGTGAAAGGACCTTGCAGTGTATGAGGTTGCTGCTGGCGGCTGCGACACACCCTGGTCTGTCCCCAGCACAGCGATCAGGTGGCTGTGGCAGCAGGACAGCTCCACAAAAGGGAGCCAGATGCCCTCGTGTTGCTGCTTCTGAGTCTGGGCGGCCTCCTTTCCCCTCCCGCCCCTCAGCTGCCTAGGCCGAGAGCTGCCGTCCCTGCTGCTTCCTGGAAGGGAGTTCCACTTGGGCCCTTGGGGCGTTGGAGCCCAGCTCTTGGTTTAATCTTGTTTTAGTTGAGACCACTCGGCTCCGTGTGCAGGGCCCTGGAGTGTGCTGAGGGTCGGAGGTTGGGTCCTCAGCCCTGCGACGTGGACGTGCAGTGGCTGCGTGGTTCCTCATGCGGAATGTGGAAGGAGCCGGGCCTTCCCAGCAGCATTTCCTGCTTGACGCTTGTCTCCACGAGGCCTTCCTAGAAGGCTGCACCCTGCTTCTAAATTAAAGCACCTGCACCGTCCCTGCCTCCTGGTCTGCTTCTGGGTGTCACACTAGGATTTATTTTAAAGTATCTTAATTCTTTGTTCTAAAACACACACTATCTCTAGCTATTGGACTGGTGATCATGAGAAACTGTCCAGGGAAACAGCACTGAATGGACTGTTAGTCTTTTTTTTTTTTTTTTTTTTAAGTACATATACATATTTCAACAGATCATAAAGAAAAAAATTCTCTTTGGTCCTTACAAGGGAAGTCAAATGAGTGTTTCTCATCAAAAGCCTGGATATCCTTATTTGTCATGACTGGAAAGAGAATTGTGCTGGAATCCTGTCATTAGGCTGTTTATCTTCAACGGCCAAAAAAGAATTAAAGCAGCACAGCTTTTGAGCGAGCTGGCGGGCAGAGCTCTGTGGAGGTGCATGGTGGCCATGCCCGGCATGTATCTGTGATGTGCACCCCGGAGTGGGTTGGTCCTCCTGAGACCTCCTTCCTGCCTCCTGGGGCCCAGCAACTGAGGCTCTGCTCTAGAACTGTGTATTATCAAATTTGCCACCATAAAGCAATCTTCCTGCTGAACGTGGACTGTGCTCTTTCCTCTAACTTGCCAGTAACCTTGCGCACGCCCTTTCCAGGTGATGGGAAAGTAGCTGGTGGCCTGCAGAGCAGAAGCCGAGTGAGACATAAATGTCAACTGGTGGCATTTCCCTGTACGTGCTTCAGTTGATTATGCTGACAAATAAGACCTTTTTCGTAGAAAAAAAGTGTAAGCAAGTATCATGAAGTTCTCATATGGAGTTGGATTTTAGCCTCAAGACTGCCCAGCTGTTAGGTAGGGAGCACAAACACCCTACATCAGTTTTTCACCTGGGACTGGGACTTTGTGCTTGTCAGGAGTATTCTTTTATCTATAAGTTGTAACTTACGCTCACAGAAGGAGAGGTAGTGAGTAGAGGGCTCCACCAGTTCCATCGCATCGGTATCCTGTACCCACAGCCTCCCTCCAGCCTCGTCACAGCAGGGTGGGGTTAAGTGAGGGCTGCGGGAGCCGCCCTGGCTTCCGGTGGGCCTGTGTCAGGTGCAGCACGGTGGCTCAGCTGCTTAGCTGCCTGGGGGCTCTGGCTTCCTTCTGGTAGCTGCGCTGCGATGTGAGGGGAGCCCTCTCACGGGGCGAGATGGGGTGTGACTCCTGATACGCATCTTCTCGGTTTAGAATAGGTACTGTCGTGTTTTGTTTTTTTTTTTCCTGTACCCGGGACTGAACTCAGCACCTTGTGCTTGCCAGGCAGGCGCTTCTGCCGCTGAGCTGTGTCCTTGGCTGTCGCTCATTTAATGACCAGATTCGTCTTGTGACCAAGTCTTTAACCGAAATGGTCACTAAAAGAATTGTATATAGTATGTGAATTACAAGTCAGAACAAAGAAATGGTCAAAGGAAACTAACTTGATGACTGCTTTAACTGGCGTAACTCTTACCCACAGTACTGTCATGTATGAGAACATAAAATTACATACTGAAGCTTGGTGTGGTGGTGCATGCGTGTCGCCCCAGCACTCAGGAGGCTTAGGCGTGAGGGTTGGCACTGAGTTTGAGGCCAGGTTGGGCTACACAGTGGGACTCTGTCTCAAAACACCACCAAAAAAACCAACAGAAAGCAAAAAACAACACTATAGAAGCAGCCACCATAAGGCCACACTGTCACTCATGTTTCTGTGTTGAGCCGCAGGTAGCGAGTCCAAACCGTCAGGAGACAGGTGCTGTTAGCGCCCTGAAGATGACCTCCACCTTCGGGTGTGGGACTTCCGTTTCTTCTCCTTTACCTCGTCTGACTCTCTCACCTGCCACCTCTGCCACGGTGGAAGGAGCCTGCTCACCCGTGGTAGCCAGGGCCGAGAAGACAGCCTTACATGCCCCTAGTGACCAGGCCCCACCTCCAGACACATTTTGGGGGAGACTTTAGATCTAAGTCATAATATTCCATCTCTGGCTCTCAGAAGGCTCGAGCCGGTCTCATTATGCAAGATGCACTTAGTCCATCTCTAAGAGTTGCCGAAGTCTCAACAGTTCCAGCATTGCTGAAAAGTCAAGTTCAGACTTCTGAGACTAGGCAAACTCATAGTTGAGTCCCTTTGGAAATAATAAAGTTAAATACTCCACACAGAATGACACAGGGTGAGCAAGAAGGAATAGGGAGATACAAAGGAATTGGGCCAAAGCAAGACTGAAACCCAGCAGGGCAAACATTAAATCCTGTGGCTGTGTGTCCAACAGCCAGGGCAGTGAACTGTGTGTTCCCCGGGGCTTAGCAGCCCTGCCCACGCGGCCCCTCTCAGGCTGGCTGTGCTCCCTGCCTGTGGTTTTCTCCAGCCGACATTTCACACTGTGGTGCCTTCTAGTTCTGCAGGCTTCAGTGGCTCCACTCACAGCTCTGTGCACTCTTCAGGGTACGCTGCTTGGCCATGTACAACTTTTCAAATCTGGGCGGAAATCTTCATGCCCACACAATCTGTGCACTTTGCGTGCCTCAAAACCCAGCACCATGTGGACGATGTGAAGGTCTGCTGCCAGCTTGAGCAGCCTGGATTATAGCTGCAGAAGCCTGAGTGCTTGGGTGGTCCAATACTGAGGAACACTTCTCTAGGGTGGCCCTGGATGAGTATGGTGCCATGGGGCTCTCAACAGCAAGCTCTCAAAGGAATCTGGCCATTGCCTGAGATTCCCCAAGCAATCTTTACTATTATCCCAATGCAAAGTACCTAGCTGCTTTGTGGTGGTGCTAATCTCTTCAGAAATCACACCTATTTTGTCCCCAACGCTTGGACCAAAATTTTAAGGTTTTTGGTTTTGTTCTTGAGAAGTCCAGGCTGGCCTCCAATTTCCAGTGTTCCTGCTGCCTCTGCCTCCCAAGTGCTCAGATTTACAGGCCAAAATTTCAAGTCTTTCTGCTTTGCCTTTTGCCCAAGTCTGTTGGTGCAAAAAGCACCAACAGTACCCATGCCACAGCCTGAATGTTAATGCTCTCTTGAAATTTACTATCCCAGGTTAATTAGTCCACCATCCTTAATCTTAGTTTCCTGTTAAATCTCAGAACATGTGTAAAGTGCAGACAGGCTCCTTGTCAGAATGTGCCACACACAACCTCTAGTTCAGTTTCCAGTAGAGTTCTTGTTCCCAATTGAAACCTCGTAAGCCTGGCCTTTATTGTCCCTATTCTCACTAACATTCTGGTCTGAGCTTCAACTAGAATCACTCATCGTTTTATTTACAGCATTATGGGACTTCTTTATCTCTAAATCTTTCTAAACTCCCACTAACCAGTTCCAGAGGTTTCTAAACCACATGCTTAGGTGGTCACGGTAATAACCCCACTTTTTTGGTTCCAATTTCCTGTATCACTTTTCTGTCCCTGGGACAAAATATCCAACACCCATAATTTAAAGAAGGAAAGGTTTGTTTTGGCTTATGGTTTTCAGCAGACTCAGTCCATGGTAAGTTGCCTCCAAGGCAGAAATGGCATAATAGAAGCCCGCAGTGGAGCAACGCTGCTCATCGTACGGCAACCAGGAAGGCAGGGACAAGAATATACCCTTCTAGTAAATACACCCTCCTAGTGACCTGTCTCTTCTGACTGGGCTCTACTGGACACAAGATTTTTTGGGGAAATTTCAGATGTAAGTCAAAACAGTGAGGGCTGTGTTAGACTTGGCTGGTTGTTGTGTGGTCCTGCCCCAGCACCCACAATCTGCTGGGTCATGTGGTAGTGACATTTCTACTTCATCACTGGCCTAAGGCTCTTTCCCTAGAACTCAAACAGAAAACAATCTTTTTCTTTTTGGCTTTTTGAGACAGTGTTTCACTTTGTATCCCAGGCTGCCTCAAACTCATGGTTATCCTTCAGCTTCAGCCTCCTGAGTGCTGGGATTACAGGTATGTGTCACCATGCTTGGCAGAAAACAATCTTTTTTTTTTTTTTTTGTGCCCGGAATCGAACTCAGGACCTTGTGCTTGCCAGGCAGGCGCATATGCCACTGAGCTATATCCCTGGCCCCAAAAACAATCTTCTTAACTCCCTTTTCTACACTGGTCAGACCAGCAGAGGACAGGAAATGGACCAATGTCGAATAGGTTCTTTTCTTGGGTCTTATAGGATCCAATCCCAGCCTCAACTAAATATGAGGTAAAGACTATGTAAACATAGGCTGAAACGTTTGAGCTTGATTAATTTTCTCCAGCTGAACACCATAAAAACCAACCCACACCCATTAAGAATATGGTTATGCTCCAGGAACCCCTCCTTCCCCAGTAACCACTATAACATCTATACCACCAGTCAGTTCCCCCACTCCTTGGGGCAGGGATTCCACATAGGGCTTTACATATCTGTGTCAAGGACTTGCTCATATGTGAAGATAATCACTAGAGGTTTCAGCTGGTGACTAGAGGTTTCAGCTGGTGACAGAAGTAATGTGGTCTCCTAACCAATAGGTCCCAGTGAGATCCTTCGACATCTCTTGGATTTAACTCACCAAACTGACTTATTTGGGAATTGGAAATTGAAAATGTGAAGAACCAATATTTAGTTGCCTGTTTCATTGGCAGGCCCTGTACTAGCTTTATAAGGTTGATGGTTGGAAGGTCGGCAGTGGTGGCCAGGTTTTACAGCTGGACACTGATTCAGAGGTTCAGAAGCTCTGTGCTGTGTGGCAGTGAGATGCACAGCTGGCATCTGGGGCTAGGGAGGCTGTGCAGCCTCCGAGCAAGGTCTCCCAGAACGTCTGCTCACATGTGGTCCATTTCCAGCCAGATAAAGTCAGTATATTTTCCTTAAGAGCAAAGTAACAAAGCCAGGGTTCCTGCTATTGTCGGGGCACAGCTTTGTATCTTTCCCATTGTTGTCAGCAAAGGACAGTGATTTTGCTTTCACTGAAAGCAACAACTGACTTCTAGTCTACAACACAAGGGCCAAACCTCCACCTGTTAAAATTCTGGTATAATTTTGCAACCATATTTGCATTTTCAGTTTCAAAACTACCATTAATTAGGAAGAGAAGGCTGGGGATATAGCTCAGTGGTACAAGCATCTGCCTGGCCAGCACAGGGTCCTGAGTTTGATTCTCCATACCAAAAAGAAAAAACTGAATCCACAATGATAGTCGGTAACTCTTCCTGCCTTTAATGGAACCAGCTTCAGTTACTGTGCATAATCTGAGCTCTAGCATAGATCTCTCTGAGACTCTGGGCCCATCCCAACTATCCCTTCCCTCCTGAAGGGAGGCCCATCCTGACTATCCCCTCCCTTAACTAAAGGAGTGTAAATGGATTTCCTAGTCGACAGGTCATCTCAGTTCTGGCCACCGGGGCTATGAGTATCCTCTGTGACACTGTACCCTTGCTCAGGTTATGGGCTCTAAAGAGAACACACTTTTGGTACTGTAACAGCTTTTGTTTTTGAACTCATGGCAATCCTCCTCCCTCAGCCTCCGAAATGCTGGGATTACAGGCATGTGCCACCACGCCTGGCTTTGTAACAGCTTTTAAGGGAAGGGCTTTGTGCTTGTTAAGCACATGCTGTACCGCTGAACTGTGCCCTTAGCCTGAACCCTGGTGTATCTTTAAAATGATGCTAATAAGATTTAAAAAAACCTTAGGTGGAGAGTGGGTTTTACCATGTTGCCTAGACTGGTCTCTAACTTCTGGACTCAAACAACCTTCTTGCTTCAGCCTCTGGTGTGCCTAGGACAACAGGCATGTGCCACTGCAACCAGCTAGTAATTCTGAATTAGCGCTACTGTCCTGCTGCCTATATGGGTTGTAAGGATCAAATAAGACAGACTAAAACACTGAAAGTAGCTTTAGCTGTAGCTCAACTATTAAGTAACCAAAATTCTCACCCAGTGTTTAAGATTTGATTCTCTGTGTAAGTTGTATCAGGGTCTGGCAGGAAATAGAACATTCAAGAGGATAATTGAGGAGTTTAATTCGTGAAATAACCTGGGATTAGTAACAGTAAGGTGCTCGGGACAAAACAGTTCACTGGAACCCAGGGAGAGCTGTGTTCGAACAGAAGCTGTGACCTTTCATCACAGCCACCACAAGTCAACAGAAAGGAAGCCAGGGGACTGACATTCCTACTCTGTGGTCTTGCCTTTTGCTGTCCTGCTGGTACTCCCCACTGGCTCTTCCGCCCTGGCGCCCACGGTCCTTGCAGCCATCGGGGCCAGTCTCCTGGGGCACATGCGGGCAGGACGGGACAGAGAAGGCAAAGGGCAGAGCGGGTTGGGCTGGAGGGACAACTGGAAGCTCCCCAGGATGGCTATTAAAGTTGGTCTCAGCTATTCTGGCTTCATCTGAGATCTAAGTATAGACTGTTGCAGGTGGTTTGGTGCTATACATATCGGGACCTTAGCAGAAGCAACATTACGACTTGTTTTTTCTTTTAAAAACACTTGGTATAAGGGGCTGGGGATTTAGCTCAGCGGCAAAGCGCCTGCCTGGCAAGTGCAAGGTCGTGAGTTCGATTCCTGGTACCGGAAGAAAAGACAAAAAAAAAAACAAAACACTTGGTATAAACATCACACAAATGGCAACTCTGAGGTTACAGAAAGCCAGTGCATTTTCTTCTGAGCCCTTGAATTTGACATTCAAATCACTGTGACAGCAACAAGAGCTGCTATTCTTTACATTCTGGAAGCTGCCTCAACAAAGGCATGTTAAAGACTGTTTAAAACTTTTAGCATTTAAAAAAATCCATCTTTCCTTTCAATGCCTATGAGCAGTAACAAAAGCAGAATCCTCTTGATGTGAGATGCTGATGTGGAGTTTGGTTTTTTTTTCTTCCAGTACCAGGAATCGAACTCACGACCTTGCGCTTGCCAGGCAGGTGCTGTGTCGCCGAGCTAAATCCCCAGCCCGATGTGGAGTTTGAGATGGCCACACTGATTCCAAACTCTAGCCCTAAATCTTTACTCTGTAGACTGAGACATATCTTGCCCAACTCCACCCCACCTGGCTTTGTCAAGGGCAAATGCAGCTCCTCCTGGAATCCAGGCACTGACCACCCCCAACACCCTCACTGGCTTCTCCACAGGGCTTCTAGTGAAAGCAGCAGCTTTTAGTTTTTGCCCATCTTCAGTCCTTAGAAAAAAGTCTTTTTGTTTTAAAAAAGGGAAGGAGGTAGGGAACTATTGTGGAGAATTTAACAAGAGAAAAAAGTAAGTACCTGTTATGAAAAGGACTTTCAAGCTCTCTGAGCCCAGATTTAACTGTAACAACTTTACTGAAGTGTCTTCATATCAAACCTTTAGCACCTTGCTCCCAGCAGCCACAGGGATGAAAGCTGCACCCACAGGTATCACTTTAAATCCCCTCATTACAATCGCAAATAAGCCACTCTTTACTTTTTAGGTAAACCCACACTCTTCCGGGCTGCCCCCCCCCCCCCCCCCCCCCCCCGCAGAATCAGACATAGGAGAAACAATAAAGGTCCTGCCTGACGGCCATGAGCAGCCCTGGCGTTCCTTGCTCTCCTCCAAGCTGAGAAGAGAAGGCCACACTGGGAATGTCAGTCTTGGAGGTAGGGTATGGGGAGGGGATGGTTCTGAGCAGGTAGCCATCCTGGAGGCTCCAGATTCTTGTATAGCAGTCCTGGCCCACTAGGAAAGAGGAAAGACACGTGGAAGGTTAGTGAGAGAAAGCAAAAGAAAAAAGTCTGGACATGGCTCCTCACGATTCCTCAGGGCTAAATGTGATTTGTGAGAGCCAAAGCACAAACTCCTATACAAACCACTGCTAACATGTAATTTTCAAAATCAAAATCCTGAGTTCCCGAGGTGTTCAAGAACACAAGTAACTGCAGGTCCTCAGAGTGATATGACTGGCTGGCTGTGACCCTGCAGTGACTCTGTAGGGGGACTCTGCTTCTGTCAGTGTCAAGGGCTGTTCAGGTGGGAACCTAGCACACCTGCTCAGGTGACAGGCAGCTGATTTCCTTTTCATGAAATATTCACCAAAACCTCTCACCTTCATGAATTACATCCTGGGAGCAAACCAGATAGCTCCTTCCTGAGCTCTGTTTTCTTTTTTTTTTTTTGGTACTGGGAATTTAACTGAGGACCTCACGCTTGCCAGGCAGGTGCTGTGCCCTGTGCTAAATCCCTGGCCCTCCTTCTGATTTAAGTCTTCAGGGGTCCAAGTTCTGAGCCCTAAACATCATGACATATGACCCCAGAGGTGATGATAGCCTGACTGTCTCCTGAAGGCCTTCAGCAAGAGAGCAGGCGGGTCTTTGGCACTATGGGTTGCATATTTGAACACTCTGAGACCACAGGCACACTCCTCCCTCCCTCCCTCCCTCCCTCCTTCCTTCCCTCCTTCCTCCTTTCCTTCCATTTACTTACTTACTTGAGACAGGGTCTCACTACATAGTTCAGGCTGGTCTTGAACTCATTATGCAGCTCAGATTGGCCTCAAACTCTCCGCAATCCTCCCGCTCAGCCTCCCAAGTGCTGGGATTATAGGCATGCGCCCCCACACCCACTTGCCAAGTTTATTGATGTAGCTAGTGGACAACTGCACCTGCTACTCAATATAACTTGGCTCTTCTGTTACCCAGCGCACAGAAGCTCTTCTGAGAGAAACTCTTGCAGAAAATAGATTTAAAGGAAGCTAAGTGTTGGTGTTGATTAGAACAGTAAATATGCCTGAGAAAGTTCTAACAAAGTCATGCTGATTAGCTATGAAAATGTTTTGTGGAGAATAGATACTTTCTGTAGGAACACTAGCAAACGTGAGGATTCGCAAACACTGAGAACAAGGGCCAGCTGTTTCACGTAGAAAAACACTGACCTTGGTGCTATCACATTATTCTGAGGCCCAGAAATAGTCTGATCTATAATCAATCTGTAACTCTCTTCAAGGGGGCTTAGTAGGTAGAAGCTGCTCCTTTTCTACCGACCATGGGTGGTATGAAAGGGACCAGAATCGGTTACTTTTCAATGACCTTCATTTCTTTTTTCAGCATCTTCTTGTGGAAATGTGAATAGAAAAAACAGGAAGCAAGTTTTTAGATAGGACAGTGTAAGACGGGATGTAACCTAATGCACAGACCCTAAACCCGGGCCCCCTAGTTGCTGTCTTGCTGTACCTCTTGTACCTTTTTCCAGAGGGCTGTCCAGCCGCTGGCTATTGAACTGCTGCTTACCAATAGACAACTCTACTGCCCCTCGGTCTCCCTATCCAGACGCCCAAAGCCCCTGTTACTTTTGTTTTTGAGCCGCTTCTCCCTCTGCCGCTTAAGCTTGCTGGAGTTCTAAGAGATGTGACTCAGTGGATGGAATCTCCTCCTCCCCAAGTACCTGCCACCAGGATTCCTTCTTCCTCGTGCACATGCAAGGGCAGGCAGGCATACTCATTCACATGACCTTCGTACTGCCTCAGACACTTCATGGTCCTCAGGTCCCACAGCTTGATCTGGGGAAGAAGCACAGGGTGTCATTAGGGAGGGTCCTGCAGGCACACTGGTGAACACCAGGTGTGAAGCCAGGAAAGGCCAGGCGGTCTCCAGTGGCCCCTTTAGGTTATGAAGATCTATACCACCAACTCCTAAACCGAGGCCTTCAAAACTGTAACCAGCAACCCCTCTCCCTGGATCGCCTGTGACCCCTTCCTGCCTGGTGTCTTGATACAGGGTTTCTTCTGCAGAATCCCCGTGCACGGCACACACATGGCGGTGGTCGGTTTCCTCTACCTTTCCAGCCATGTCGGATGCCAACACGGACTGCTCTTCCTGGAGGATCCGCAAAGAGGTCACCGCCGAGTCATGGAACAGGCGGGTGGACTTCCAGTCCTTGCCTTGACTTCGACAACGCAGATCAATGGCAAAGATCTCCCCAGAGCGACAGCCATTGAACAGCAAAGGAGTCTGTGGAGAGAGGGTCTGCTTGGTGCCCGAGGATGGCAAGGGTGTGTCCTGTAGACAACCCTTCTCTGGCCCCGCCAGCCTGGCACAGGGTGCATGCGCCAGCTTGGTGGGAAGGTGAGCCTCACTGGAGTTAGAAGGGACAAGGCCTTGTGACAGGCTAGAACTGGACTCCAGGTCTATCCAGTGTGGGGAGCCCACAGGGGCTTGAAGTAGCTCACTACACTTAGGCTGCCCTCACTAGAGCCTGAGTGACAGCACCCTGTCCCCACCAAAGCTCTGGTGAAGAGCCTGGAGTAGGAGAGCAGATGCTGGGAAGGCGCAGGGTCCTAATCGGAGCAGGAGCTGGCTAAAGGAGGTCTGAATGATCAACTCTGCCTCCTGCCTGCAGTGGTCAGCGGACTCCCTCCTCCATAGTGCTAGAGAAAGCACTCGACAGGGCAAGTCTTGAAATACAGTAATGACCAAAATTTTCACTTTTATGCATGTAAAATGTACAAACTAGAAGCTGTATATGAGGCCATGGCCTCATACTTCACACACATATTTTATTTTTCTGTGGAGTTGGGGGCTGGGACCCAGGGCCCTGAACGTGCTAGGCATATAGGCACTCACTCTATGACTGAGCTACACCCAGCCCCACCTTACACACGTTAACATGATTTGTCCTGCTCACTCCAACTAAAGGACTGCTGAGAATTAATTTAGACAGGAAGTTGGTTAAATCCAGCTCAGGCAGGTCTTCCTAGATCAGCCAACCTTCACTGAGCTCATATTCACATCCTTTCTGTTCATTTCTCCTTTGTAAAAGAGGAAGATCTAAATGCCACACCAGGGACTCCAATTTCACCCCAGCAAAGTTTCTGTTACACCCTTCACAATTCAACCAACCATGATGGCAAACTGCTGGGTGAGAACGTCACTGTTGGTCCTGTATGACTGCCGGTGTCCTGTCACTACATTGGTCAACAGGACCCGCCGAGACAAGCCTGGTGGAGACAGAGATAGGTTGGTAAGACAGGCATCACTGGTAGTCTAGGGAGAGGAGGGCCTGGTGGTTGGGTTAAGGTATGAAGTCCACCACTCCAGGCACTGGAGCGGGCAGCCATGGCTCACCGGTACTGAAGCAGGTGTTTGCCTGGATGTTCAGACACCACGCACAGGACCAGGCACCAGGGATCCGGAAACTGCAGAGCATGCCACGGCGGTCTACACCTGTGGAGCAGAAGAGCAAGGGAAGCACAGCTGACCTCTAGGCCTGGAGAGCTTCCCTGCATTCTGCCCTCAGAATGCGTGTTAGGAGACGTATTCCCCAAGTCACAGCTGATGCAGTGGGGAGGTTGCTTTGGGAGGTAACTAGGATTAGATGTCCGAGGAACAAGGTGGGGCCCTCACCAGGGCATCAGTGGGCTGTGAGAAGACAGGCCCAAGCTCACAGCTTTACACTTCCTCGTGGGGGCCAGCACTGCATCAGGAGGCAGGAAGGCGGCCCTCACCAAGACTCTGGTGCCATGCTCTTGGCTTTCATAGCTGCCGTGAGCTCACAACCCTCTATTCTTTATGAGTCACCCAATCTGCGGTATTTAGTTGTAGCAACAGAAAACAGACTAAAACAGAGTCTATACTTTGGCCCTTTCCTAGGCTTATGGTAATGAGAGAGATTCAGCCGGGTCACCCTTGTCAACAGTCTGTGTTGTGGACTGCACAACACTAACAGCTGTCAGGGAGGCAGTGTGGGTTTCAGTCCTGGATCACTACCGCGTGTGCATTCTCTAGCAAATCATCAAACGTTTGCACCTACAGAAGTCGTAAGGATGTGTACAGTTCCACGCGTAACTGCAAAGTGAATCTAGCCATGTGTGAGCACCCAGCTTAAGAGAGAAAACAGTCCAAGCTCCAGTCACCTCCTTCATGTTCCTTTCAGTTACTACCTTTCACCCCATTCCTGCCCAAAGGGACTGCTAATCTGAGTTTTTTTCTATCAGTGCCTGCCATATACAGGCATACAGGTAGTAGCTGCTTAACTTAGTGTCTTCTGAATGGTTAGCACAGGTAGTCCAAAGCAGTGTTTTGATGTCTCATGCAGGTTACATGAACATTTTAATGCTGTTCTGGCTGCTAATGTGATCCACAAGGGGTAAAAGCAGGGGACAGCACTAGAAGTGCATGTGTACCTAGTGCTGACTGTGGGACAGGCTCCGTGTTGCCCCAGCGTGGCCCCACCCTGTGCTCTGCCAGGGTCACCCAGCCTCTGGCTCCCACACCTCCTCTCTGAGCCCACCCGCAGTTCCTGGAAAGCACAGGACAGAAACCTCCCCCAAGGCACTGGTCTCTTCTGAAGGAAAGGACCCTGTACCTGGGTGACTGCTGGTGAACAGCGACGTTGGGATCAGAGTGGCACAGCCCGGAGTCTCTGCAAATCCCAAGAGGCACAGCCTGGAAGAAGCTGTTAAGGACAAGCAGGGACAAGGATCTCCTCTGCGAGAAGAATGGTGGTCATGCAAAAACTTACAACACACATGAACTTGGCTGTGAATAAAACCAACTGTCCAGCTCTAACATGATCACATTTTCCTATTCAGCTTCAAATTTTCTTAAAAAAGGTCACAGATACAATTAAAAGCCCGCTTTAATCCCTCCTAATCCAAGCCTCCCCTTTCCCCGACCCAGACAGAAGCCCTATTCTCAATGTGGTGTGAGTTTTTCTAAGGCCTTGTAACCCTTACAAACATATGATGACCTAAAGCAGTTTATGCTTTTAAGACGCCAAGAGCGCTCACAGAGCATCTGCTCCACCTTTCCAATCTCCACTGTCCCCTAGACTCACCTCTGTCAATCACAGTCCTGCCCTGTGGCCACATGGTCCAACTTCTAACCACATTCCTTTTTTTTTTGGTACCGAGAATCGAAGTCATGACCTCAGGCTTGCCAGGCAAGCGCTGATGCCACCGAGTATATCCCTGGCCCATAACTGCACATACCTTCTTGGCTTTTAACCTACCACTTCCGTGCCATGCTGACATGTTCCTGTTACCTGATTCTCTGGCTAGAATGGAGCTTTCTTTTAGACTCTTGGCCTGTCCTTTAAGCCTGCAGCATCTTGCCCTCACCACTGTTCTCTTAAGGCCTTGTAGCAGCCTCTGATGAAGTCTCACCCTTGCCAGTCTATGTCCCCACACTGCTACCAAGACTCTTTCTAACATGACTCCATGATCACAGTCCTCAGGGCACTCCATAGCTCTGATGACCCTGTCTTGGAAGACCCCATCCAGCTACAGGCATCACGGGACACCAAAAAGCTGCCCAACACACCAACCCTTGTCCTGACTCAACCTTCTGCTGGGAGCGCCTGTCCCTTCCTTCCCATGTAGGCATCCACAGGACGACTCTTGCATCCCCATGGCATCCAAAAGCCCTCGAAGACTTCCTGTTGAGCTGCCTGTCTCCAGCACCTTACAGAGGGACTATATATGCCCAACAGACAATGGCTCAGTGATCCACTGAAAAACACTAACAAACAGGCCACCAAGTTAGCAGTTCAACCATCTGAATGTGTGATGCATACGTGACCTGTGGTGGTAAGCTCAGTGTTCAACAGTATCTCTAGTCTCCAGACACTGCTAAAACCAGATGCCGGGCAGCTCCATTTCTTCCTGAATAAACCTTCTACTTCTGGGTTTGGAGGGCGATAAGGGAAGAAACCCTTATCCATGGGCACTTTCAGTTACTGTGGCTGAAATCCAGGTCATACTCAAATTTTGTGCGGTACTTACAGGGGCAGACCATTGATTACTTCCTTAGCAGGGCACAGTTAACTAGGAGTCCAGAAAAGTAGAAAAAAATTCCTCTGACCTCCCACCACTCTTCACGGGAAATGCAGAGTGCAGGTCTGAACAAGGACGCAGGTGTGAAAATGGTGCCCTTTTAGTAAAGGAACTTTAGTGGAAGCACAAAAGCCTGAAGTGGACCTGGAATAACCACCAGGTGTCAAGCCACCACCTGAGCCAGGACAAACCACACTTTAAAATTCAATGGGGTTTTACCTAGCCCTGGCCAAAGAGATATGGGAGAAAACACTGCTTCATGGTCAGAAACCAGAGCGCGGTTCTTGTTCCCTCTCTGTAAAGCATGGCCTCTCATGCCCGTTGGATCAGTGTAGTCCTCTCACTTACCAGAGCCCCACCAGATGACAGCCACGTAAAACTGCAATTTACAGAACGCACAGTTTTGTGTCTTACATAAAAATTATAAACAGACCATTAATGGACTTCAGGGTTTAAAATCTTTGAAACGTAGTCCTGTGAAGCAAACAAAAATAAAGGTTCTGATTCAGCTTTCATCTGTTGAGGACAATGATGTGTAGAAACTGTGGAATACTGTATGTTACTGCACATTCATCTCATGGCAGCTCAAGAAGCAAGCATTACGTGCACTGGCAGCACACATGTTCAAGAGCTCACTTGTTATGGGCCTGGACTAGGGTCAAATAAGTCCTCCATGGCATAGAGAGCCCAGAAGTCCCGGAGGGAGGCTTGGGCCCAGTGACAACCTACACTGCTGTGTTCCTAGCAAAACAGCCCCAGTGGCTCTCTGAGAAGGCGACGACCAGAGTGAAGAGTGCACCACAGGAGGCTGTCCCTAGGCCTCGTGCAATGCCAAGGAAACTTCCTTCTCTTCCCCGGGTCTCAGTGTCCCTGGAGAAGCCCAACCCTTAATAACCACTGTTTTTCCCTCTCTCACTGCAGGACCGAGGGCTCCTTCCCAAGGCTGTGCCGTTCCTTCATTTTACTCCTCTGCTAAAGCACCAACTCTCTGGCACAGATGCTGGGTCTGTCTTGTGGCCTGAAGCCCTAGGTTACAGTGGTAGAGCAGGAGGCTCTAGAGACATACAGCCTGAGTTCTGATCGTATCTCCTCTACTTACATGTGAAGTTCCACAACAGTGTCTGGCACACAGGCACATCAACGTCACCCCCAAGGACAGTCGTCATGGGATCTCACCTGCTGCTCTGTGCTGCACAGAAATCCCTGTTGTCAACCCAGGGGCACAGTTTTCTTCTAAAGGGTGAGTCATGAGTGCAGATGGCCCAGCCCTCTGTCATTAAATGCCATCTTACAAAGCCCACAAATCCTTGGTCCACACCAAAGGATACAGAACGTGGGAATCCAAGTGGTTCAGTGAGGCCCAGCACACAGAATTCACCTGGTGAAGAAGCACACAGCAAGATGGCAAGGTTGGTTTGACTGCCAGCTCTTGGAGAGAAATGGCCAAACTCTCAGTTACTTGTAGGGACAGAGACACAGAAAATCTTTCTGCAGGTCTCATTCCATTCTTTCTTTCTTCTTCTTTTTGAGACATTTTGCTATGCAATTCAGGCTGGCTTTACACTTAACCTTGTAGCCCAGGCTGGCCTCGAACTCATAGTGATACTCCTGTTTCAGCCTCCCAAGTGCTGGGATTGTAGACATGTGCCACCACACCTGGCTCACTCTTAAAAGTGGGCTAGAGTAAGCATTAAGAGGACAGGAGAGCTTCCTGCCCTGTGATATGGGGCCTCAATGGGGCGAGAAGGACGCACACCCTAGACCTCACCCTTCTGCATCAGCATGCATCCTACACAAGGAAGCTGGCATACCCACCATCAAGGGCTCAGTTCTCCGCCGTGGAAGGGGACAAACCTAACTCTGAAGCTGTGCTGTACCTTACTTTACTCATCAGCCATTTCAACCTGTACCGACCTTGTGGCTCTCATGTCCTACCTGGAAAGTCTCAGCTTGTTACCACCCCTCACAGGAATGTAAAGTGCTTGATGCCCTAGATGGCAAGCACCTTGTGTTTATGTAAACCTCAGTGGTGGCCACAGAGTGGCTTGGTGATGGTTGTACCGACTTGATACACAGGGGAGGATTCCTTTATTCGGGTCACAGTCACTGTGGCCCTGGAAACCCTTGACTTTCCCGGAGGGAACCTTCTTAGAACCAGGTAAAGCAGTGCTGCCTTCAGCCTACCCCCACTATCTAAGTTAATTTCCTCCTCCAACATAGGTACTCCTAGGCTCCTTTTCTTTTCCTGTGGGTCTGCAGAAACCAACAGTCTACCTGTTCTTTTGAAAAATGAAGTAACTGTGCCCTATTTCCTTCACAAAGTGAAGGCCGAATAGCACAGTGTCCCGGGCCCCAAGGGCTACGAGCTGAAGAACCAGATGACATACCTTGCGGTTGGTGAAGTAGAAGTTTTTATGCATGTGCACCTCAAGCGCAGGAGTCTTCAGACCACTCAGGTTGATGACGCCATACTTTGAGCCTCCAACATCAACATCATTCACCGTGAAGAGCCGGTCACTGTTGGTATCCACCTGGAGGCAAGGGGCTGCAGCTGACCCCCCAGACTGGGCCAGGAGGGTTAAGTCCACCATCCATCTTTCTTGGATTCTACACTCTATGCATCTTCCCCAGGTGACAGCTCATCTTCATGAGAACATGAAGATGAGCTAAGTTTCTCTCACTCTTTATTTGCAAAGCTCCTAGGGGGCAGTTTTACTACCTCAGGAGCAGCGAGTGGGATTAGGATGGTAGAGGTAGGGTGTGTATGCCCATGAAGACCAAGGTCAGTAGTGACCCCCCATCTGCTAGAGCTGGGCTTGAAGGGTCCAGCGTCAGCCCAGCGAACATACCATGTGGCCATCATGAAAACTACATAGTGACATGGAAAAGGCTAGCTGTAATTGTTCATGGGCCAAGCAGGACTCCAAACTGTATTCCCATAGCAAATGATGGTTTCCAACAAGAGAACAAACACTGCAGGGGCTGAGGGTGTAGCTCTACAGCACAGCATGGGCTTAGCAGCTGTGAGGCCCTGGGTCTGATCCATGCCACCAAAAGCACAAGAAAAAAAAGAAACATATACACGTAAAAGGCAAGTGTACATTACACTAAATAAAAATACAGCAGAAAAGTCTGCACTAGGATGTGGGCTATTATTAAATGTTAACAGTTAACTGAAAACAAAAACTTCCTACACATCCACCGCTTTGTCTGTACTGCTACACACACACATGCATGCACAGGGGTTGGACGCCAGTGAGCCTGCACCGACTGTGCAATTTCACTTGGGAAGAAAAGTTACGTTCCTGGGTTAACCACTGGCAGTGACCAGAATCTGAGCTGAAAAGTTGCTCTAGCAAAGAAGCTGGGCCCCGTCCCTAACACCCTTTACTTGGAAGGGCTGTTATTCAGGTGCGAGGACTCAATTAACCTCAAGTCTGAGGCCCAGCCTCAAGTCCTGCCAAGACAGATTACTGTCCGTCCTCTCTCTTTCTCTTGCCTTTGGAGAGGTAAGGTTCCCTCACTTGCAGAGGACCTGCTAACTCTCTGCTGACATTTCCCTGGCCCCTGGGCTCCAGCACTTGGCCCAGCCCAGGTCTAATTAAAAGCAGAGGAAACCTTCCAGTCCTCACAGATGATGTGAGGGAGAGGTGCTAATGTGCAGGGCCTCAGGCCTGCAGGCCCCTGCCAGGGACAGCGAATGAGGGAGCCAGAACCTACTGCAAGAGAAGGCACAGTGGAGCTTCATGCTCAACACCAAACCCTGCCCAGGGGCAGAAGGGGTAAGAAGCCCCAGGTCATGGTAATGCGGTACCCCTCGTGAGCTGCATATGCAATCCAGCCAGGGAGAAGTTCTTTTGTAAGGGTTCTCAGTCAACATGTAATTGGGGCCAGGATCTACATCAAATGCCAGGGCTGGACTGAGGGTGAGGGTGGTTACAGCACAGCCTGCCTGCCAGCTCAGCATCCACCTACGGGTAGCCAGCAGGTAGGTTCAAATTGTAAAGCCAAGAGGACACTGCCCGCTCTCACAGCCACTGGCGTCTACAAAGCCAGCTTGATGGCCAAGCATGAAGCATCTAGGGCATGGCAGCTGCACCCAGGATCCAGACGAGGCCCTGCAACTCACCAGGATGAGGCTGAACGGGTCGCTCGTCGGGACGGAGGCATCCGAGCTCTGAATGTGAACCTTTTTTCTCTCCATGCAGCTCACTCGCAGCTCGTGGGCTAAGCTACAGATAGAAAAGAGACACAGGCAGGGATGGGCCCAGAGCGCGACACCCATGGTCAAGTCTCAGAAGCCACATGCGGTGAGCACCTGGAGTCTGAGCTACTTGGGAGACTGAGGTAAGAGGACTGTTTGAGCATCTGAGTTAAAGACCAGCCTGGTCAGCAGAGAGAGTCTGTGTCAAACAAAAAAATAAAGCCCAGACTAAAAGGCCCCTCTGTGTACTACTTCTCAGCAATGACGCTAAATAAGGTCCCCCAAATTCTGAATTTTAGTTTTCTCGTATATAGCTTAGGAAAACTAAAACAAAGCACTGCCTAGTCCTTCCCAGGCTCAGAGAATGTCAGAAGCAAAGGGACATTTTCTTAGACTGCCTAGTACAATGCCTTCTCTTGGGATGAAGCCAATCCCTGAGGGATGACCAACAGGATGGAGGACATGGGCAAATGGGAAGCACACTGGTGTGGGGTCACCCGCCTCACCACCCCCGCAGCATGGCCACTCCTCCACTGCAAAGGGAACACAGGCACCTGCCTTGCTGGATAACCCGCGCATGGCTGCATCACGCACGGGAGGCAGAGTAAGATGGGAGGGGTTAGAGCTCAGATGTCCTAGTCAAACAGCTCTTGCCTTGCTGGTTATATCTTGAGCAAACTGCTCCACCTTGAGCGTCGGTCTCTTCTTCAGGAAATGGGAGGGAAGTATCACCCAATCTCAGTTTTAGTTAGGCTTCTGTCAGGTATCACAAGCGTTCTGATACACTCAGCACACTCAGATCCATTAAATGGCCCACTTCCAGTGACAGTTCACTGGGAAGGGAAAGAGCGAGGCAGAAACCTCAAGAAATGAAGTTGCTAGGAGGATCCGTGCAAGCAGCTTGAGTGACTTCTGTGAGTGCTCTCCTCCCGCCCACGTCTGAGAAAGAGTGAGTCTTTACGTGGCAGCGGGTGCTAGGGGCCCTCATCTGTGCGGACCCCTTGGAGAGCGACCTTGCGGACCCTCCCGACTGGAATCCTGGAGCACAGAAACAGGAAACAGGGAAGAATGCCCGGTGTGGTGGTGCATGCCTGTCATCCCAGTTCTTTAGGAGACTGAGGCAGGAGGATCCAAAGTTTGTTTGAGGCCAAAATAAATGCTTTTGTAAGTGGGGAGGGGAGGAGGGGTTCAAGGAGGGTAGGGGAATGGCAAAAAAAAAAAAAGAATCAAGGTATATCATGTACAGGTACAAATTCTCTATGGCAAATGTGACCACTGCGTATGTCTAAAATGTACCAATAAAATCTGACAGAAAAAAAAAGTTTGAGGACATCCCAAAATAGCGAAGGGCTGGGGTGTAGCTCAGTGGGACAGTGCTTGCTTAGCATGTGTGAGGCCCTGTATTCAATCCCTAGTGCCGCAAAAGAAAAACCAGAAAAGAAGGAAACAGGAAAGAACATTCATTAAGAAAACATAACATCAAGGCACTGACTTACCGGCAGTAACTGGCGACGCTAAGGAAACCCAGCTGGCTTTTTCGTAGGAAGGAAGATGTATTAAACCCCATTCTGGCTGCTCTCTAAGTTACAGACAGAAAGACTCAATGAAGATTTATTTGTGTTATAGGATAACAGAGATGTTTTTAGCTTCACAGGATGCAATGAAGGAGACAGGCGTTAAATGGGCAGAAATTAGATGCATAAAATTTGACTTTTGTAAGTCAGAACTGTATCAAAATTAGAGTTACTTCCTCCTCTTGGTGTGGGCTTGGGAGTCTGCACCACACCTCTGTCTGAGGGCCTGGCCATCTGCACCCAGGAGGAAGCCGCCACGCCAGCAAGGGTGGAGCGAGACTGGACTCTGGCCTGGCTGCATGTACCCTCCATCCCTGTAGGGCGATCCCGAGGCCTGGGTTTCCCTCCTCCTGTCCACAGCCAGCCAAACACCCCGGCATGGAGATCTGTCTGCAGGACTGCCTGTGGCTCCCCAACCCCCCAGGCCTGTGTCCTAGTTTCCTAACAAACATACAGTGCCTCAGCTTCCACTGTGCTGCTTCCAAAGCCGCCCCACGGGCTGGACAGTCCCTAGAACTGCTGATGGCACTGAGCAAACAGGAGAAGGCAGAGGGCCTGGGGTCAGGGTCGCTTGCTGCTCTTACTCTCTTCCGTTTCCCTGTCAGGGGAAGTCGGGGCCCAGCCCCGCACCCCTGAGCCCATGCTAAGTGTCACGGTGCCTCTAACTGGCAGGTGGACGCTGGCAGGAGCGCAGGGGGTGGGGGTGGCTCTTGGAGGGTGCAGAGCCCACCTTTTTCTTCTGTTCCTCTTCCTCTAGCAGCTGTAGTCTTTTGCTCTCCATTTCCTTTTGCCGGATGCTCTCTTTCGTGAGGGGGTTGCAGTTGTTATGTCCAGGTAGCAAGCGGAAGTAGCGGTTCTTTTTAGGGTCAAAGTAATATCCCGGTAGATCTTTAATGAATAAACATTCAATTCAGCAACTTAAAATGCTGGGAACTGACCCACTCAGGAAGGAGCCCAGCTGCCTGTCTTTTCTGAAGGCCAGCAGAGTCTGGCATGGTCAGTCTCTCCTGGACTGAATTCAGTCCCGGGGGAGACCATCTGCCCTACGATCACTGTTCCTGACACTGCAGCTCCTTCCTTCAGGGTTTCAACTTGCTTCAAGGATTCCCTCCAAGCCAGGAATGCACTGGTGACTCCCATGCAAGTGAGGAGACACAGACACATCTGAGCCTGGTTGAGGAGGAAGGGCAGCCAGGAGAGACAATGCCAAGAGACCTGGCAGCAGGAGGCTTCCTCCATCCTGGCTAGCAACTGCCTTACCTCGTGTGGAAGTATCCCCAGTGGTGTTGGGTGAGGTCACTGGGGACTCCTCGTCACTGTGGTCAGAGTCCGGTGATCTCTGCCGGGCCCCTGTCAGGCACCTGAGAAGACACGGCTCTGATGACTGGCAGTGAAGGGCCTGAGTTCCCAATCCTTCAGACCAGGGGCTCCTACCGAAGCGATTCTACATCTTTGTCCCTTGCCTTTCTGATCGCTTTGGGAGAACTGACACCTTACAATAAATACACCAAAAGGAGGGTGATTTTGGTTTGTCTTTTTTTTTTTTCAGAGAGGATGCATATCACAGTAATTTCTTCTTCTCACTTGAGTGTTTTGTGAGGTCTTCTGGAATCTTTCAGATGAAAAATAGAACAGAAATCTTTGCCAATAAGAATTTTACCAGCCGGGTTTCTCCATCAGCTCAACAGCTATCACAAGGCCAGGTGAATTTCATTCTTTATTGGATTTAGTAGTAGAAGAGGTGAAGCCACACCTGGTTAGCAACCTCACACAGAAACTGGGGCTGTGTCATCTGCTCAGTGACACAGTAATCTGCTCAGTGACAGAGCCATGGCTGAGACTCTGGACTGGTAAGCCACAAGCGGCTTCTGGTAACTACAGATTGAAGGACACAGTGATAAAGCGAAAGATCTTTCTTTAGAATCCTGATATAATTCACTTTCAAGTGAAGAAATTTCTTTCTTTCCTTTTTTTTTTTTTTGGAGACAGGGTCTCATTTGTAGCCCAGGCTGGCCTCATACTCACGGAGATCCTCTTGCCTCAGCCTCCCAAGTGCTGGGATTACAGGCGTCACCGCACCTGGCCTAAAAGCATGAATTTGTTCCCTGCACAGACAAATACTAAAAGGAATCTGAGTTGCAAAATTAGGGTAAGGGAACAAGAAAACATTCCTTCTTCCACAAATACTAGAGCTAGGCAGAGTTTCAGGCAAAGTTACTTACTCCCCTTTTCCTGGCCCACAGCTTCCTGAGGCAGCTCATCTGCGATCAGCAGGAAGAGGCAAGATTAAGTGCCACGACTAATGTCTACGTTTTTCATCCAAAGGCTCCTTGCTTGCTGCTCCATTCTTTCTACTCGGAGGAGCCCAGAGGGTAGATGTGCTCAGCAGCTTTCCAAGCCACTCTGCCAAAGCTGTGCGGGACTCTTGTACTGATCACATTTTGTGACATACTCTGCTCTTGGGAAGGCCCAAAGCCCAAAAAGTATTCATGGTCTCCTTATAAAACACTGGCCATGAGAAAAACCCCACAAAACATTGGGCACGGTCCTAACCTTTCTGTAACACTGGTCAAATTTGAGGATTTCTGCCCAGTGAGACCCACCATGTGCTCCTCTGAAGCCTTTTAGGGCTTTATACACTTCCTCTTGAAAGAAGTTATTAGCCGTGTTTCATACAAGAAACAGTGGCACAGACATGAGGTACGTGGCCCAGTTGCACAACAGAAAGCAGAGCTCCTGAGTCTAAAGCCCTTGTCCTCCATTACTGTTTGGGTTAATTTCTTCCAGAGAAGCATCTTGTTACTGGACATCTGATGGCCCTGTAACTAAGAAATCGGTTTGTTTAGCCAGGCACGATGGCGCATGCCTGTCGTCACCCCAGCACTTGAGGCTAGAGCAGGAGGATCGTTGCCAAGTTCGAGGCCACATAGTGGGCTCCATAGTTAGACAGTGAGGTATGAAATACACTGTGGCACTGGGCAGAGCTGCCTCAAACTGCGCCGCCCCCATCTGTCTGTTTCAAAAGGAGGTCTGAACCAGGGGAGAATTTAAAAACTGGCAGCTGGGCCCCTTTTGGTGCTAAGGGAGCCTGTGACACGGAGAGCTATGGGAAGACGGGGTGGCCAGGGATCTTGCAGAAGCCCTTGATGGCACAGCTGATATCCTCTCCAGGGGCCAGGGGAGCTGTCTGGTTCCAAGACAAAACCAGACTTCCTCCATGAAGAAAAACAAATGGAATGTGAAAATGTTTATACTGGGGACTTCAACAAAAATTTCTTTTTTTCTTTTTGGAGACAGGGTTTTACTGTGTAGTCCAGGCTGGCTGAACTCCCTATGTATGCAAGGCTGGCCCTAAATTTGTGACCTTCCTGTCTCAGCCATCTGTGTATTTTTTAAATAGACTTTTGTGTATATTCAGTATAGTGTTTCATGTATAGATTTCAAAACCCAACTAAAATAGAGAAGCAGGTTACCAAATGTATCAGGTAATGTCTACCTGTAACCACAGGGATGACACTGAGCAGAAGCCACTGCAGTCACTCTGAAAGAAAGAAGGGTGTAGCTGTGCCCCTCATCACTCAGAGTGGTGGACAGACCCACAGCAGCCACATGCCCAGGGAGCTTGCTGGATATACAGCCCTGCCCCTGGCCCCCGGGCACAGTGAGGTATGAAATGCCCTGTGGCACTGGGCAGAGCCAGCTCCCCAGCCCTGGCACACTTGCCTCTCACTGGAACTGCGCTGTCTGCACCAACAGTTCTGTGAGCGGCTTCTCCTCCCGTATTTTTTCCTACTCTGCTTGCTGCTTTTATTCATTTCTGTTCCTAAAAGAGAAAAGAGAACGTCACATACATCCCTGAGTGTGGGTGTTCTCCCGCTCGCTCCTTGGCATCCGTGCCTTTCCTGTGAAGAGCTCCTCCAGCACTTTCCCACTTCTTCCCAACACCCTGGAGGGATGGCACAGCTCCCTCTCCCAGAGAAAAGAAGTGACCAGGCACGAAACCTACCAGCAATGGCAAACCTTTTAGAGCTTTCAATGATAACGAACAGCTGCGCTGTGGCACGTGTTCCATAGATTCACCACCACTGCTAGGTCTCTCTTGTCTACTCCACAAACACCTGCCTACACTTATTCTGTCCTCCTCTGTCTGGGAGAAACAGGTATGTTCTCAGAGCTTTTCAAGGCACACCCATCCCATCTGGCTGTTGATCTCTTACCTTCCCAAGGACTCTGTACACATCTGTTCTCATACATGTTTAATGCCTCCCTCGCCTTAACTTATAAACATGCCCAGGTTTTTCATTTGTATGTGTTCCACTTCTGATCCAAAAGAAGCAAATACGCTGGAAGAATTCTGTCTAAATATAAATTCATTGTTGTCATTTCTCAATATTCCTCAACTCACTGGAGTCAGGCATCTTCCTTCTCCCTGTTCTACTGAAATGTTTTGCTGAGGTACTGACCGTCACCACGTACTTGCTAAAGCTGGTGCTCTCTTTCTGGCCCTTATTCCTGCAGCATATACCATGAAGCATCTATTCCTTTTGTTGCTGGTTCTCCTCTTGTCAAATTCATCCTTTCCTGGGTACTCCCGGGTCAAACACCCCTGTGTTCTCCACAGATCTCTTTTTCTCATTTAACTCCATCCAATCCACCAATACAGGCACCTCTCCAGCTCAAGCATCCTCCTGGGCATCAAGTTCCTATGCTGTCACTTCCTGTCTGTCTCCACAGATGCAGCAGTGTCAATGGGTTTAGAAGTGTGTTCATGGGCTGAGCGTGTAACTCACTGGTAAAGTATGTGCTCAGCATGTCCAAGGCCTTGGGTTCTCTCTCTAGCACCAAAAGAATAAAAGACTCCATGATCTCTTTCTAGACCACATCTGCTCTTTTGCTAATAGATGCTTCCCTTCTCTGTAAATTTCATGCCCTCCTCTAGTCTGAAAGTATAGTCACTGTATTCATTTTCCTAAAGAACGGCCCCCAAACACCTTATGTGTGGGGTTCACCATGGATCAACAATTTTTTTTTTTTCTGTCTTTTTGAGACAGGGTCTCTCTATGCAGTTCAGGCTGGCCTCGAGCTCACTTTGTAGCCCAGGCTGGTCTCGAACTTGCAACGATCCTCCTGCCTCAGCTTCCCGAGTGCTGGGGTTACAGGCGTGCACCAACATGCCCGGCGGCGGATCAACAATCTTATACTGCAGCTAAAGAATACAGTTGTGATTATACTTAAGTTTCAAGATAAAAGCACTGTGAACAGAAGAAGCATGTATAGCGAGAGTTAAAAAAACTAAGCCACACTAACATACAATTTATTATTATTACCAATTCCACAACAAACAACTCTCTTTTAGAGTGCACAGTCTGCACATAAACACTCTAGTTTTTTTTCTACTAATCAGGAATACAGTGAACAACACACATCCTGGTACTCCAAGCCTCCAGCTTATCCATCAGGAGGCAGGACCACACTCCTCCTACACCATTAGCCTTAGGGGCTGCATGATCAGGACACCATAGGCAATGCCTGTAACCCCAGTGTTTGAGAGGCTGAGGACTGCCACAAGTTCAAGGTCAGCCTGGGCTACAAAGTGAGTTCAGAGCCAACCTGAACTATATTTCAAGACCCTGCATCAAAAAACCAAAACCAAAACAAAGAAGTCTACTGAAAGGGAAGAACCGTGTTGTCCCCAAATGCAAATGTAGTTCATTCTCTGTATCTACTTTACACACAGTTTATGCTTGCACTTATCTCTCTCTATTAAACTTTGTTTATACTCCCATCTCATCTTTTTCTATTACTAGCACCCATGACCTAGATGGCACTGAGTAAATTTTTGCCAAAGTAGAAAAGACTAAAAACCTACAGCTACCTGTAGATCCCAGGTAGCTTCCTTCTGCTCTGGGTACCTTAAGTCAATACACATTTGCAGAGCAGCCACTCCACATCAGGCTTAGGGCTGAGCACTGGGGAGTGGGCAGAGATCAGTAAGCTGTGATCTGGAGGCTCATGGCACTCACTGTCACCCAGTGCAGGATGAGGGTCAAGACCCAGGTATCCCCAAACATGGTGAGAGAAAGGAGTAACTGCCTCATGTAGACAGAGCGGGATGGGGCAGGATGGTGCAGTAGTCTAAAGTGACAGGTCAGGCAGTGGGATCAGGGGCAGTGGGGCCTGCAGGCAGGCAAGAGTCTAAAGTACAGCACAAGGGATTTCGGGAAGAGGTTGGAGAGCCCAGCACAGTCCAACGGTGAGGACTGCAGTGCAAGAGGAGTGACCTAATTGAAAGGCACGGCAGAGGCAGCAGCACAGAGAACCTTATTTCCTGAGTAGCTGGGATTAGGTGTGTGCCGCCATACCTGGTTGGCTGATCAGTAATTCCTAACCACGGTTTTGTCTACTAAGGCACATTTGGCAATACTGTATCTGGAGACATTTTTCTCTGTCCCCACTTGGGCAAGGGGGTAGAGGGGCAGAGATGGGCTGCTACTGTATCTAGTGGGTAAAAGCCACAGATACTGCCAACCATCTTATGTCCAGGACAGCCTCAGTAAAGAATTATCCTATGCGGGGGTGGTGTACACACCTGTAATCCCAACTACTTGGGAGGCCGAGGCGAGAGGATTACAAATTTGAGGTCAGCCTTGACAATTTAATGAGATCTTGTCTTGAAATAAAAAGAGCTGGAAAATAGCTTGGCACAAGGCCCCAGGTTCAATCCCCAGCCTCCTTTCCCAAAATAAAGAAAAGAGAAAGAGTTATCTGGCTCAAAATAGCACAGGATTGAGAAGCACTGTTCTAGGCGGAAAACACCCAATAACAGTTTGCTGGCAGCATCCCTGGAGCTGCTCCACAGGACACAGACTTTAAAATGTGTTGCAGGAGGCCCAGTCTAGGTTTGCCTTTCTGAAAATCTTGTAAGTTTCTGAAGGTGTAAAAAGTAAATTTTAAGAGACAGCTATTCTAAAATAATAAATAAACATGACTTTTGGAAAGTGATTAAGCAATATTTATCAAGTAAGTTGTAAATGTACGTATCTTCCTTCTGGGAATCAATCACAAGAAAATAATCCAAAAGACCGTAAGAGTTAGTGGATGTGGCGGCACATGCCTTTAGTCCCAGCCACAGGACAGGCTGAGGGCCAAGGTAGGAAGGTTAGGTCCAGGAATTTCAGGTTAGCCTGGGCAACACAATGAGATCCTACTTTTTCTTTTTAATAAAAAAGGAAGTTATATGGAAGATATTTACTACAACTTTCCAACCTTATGAGGCCAATTTTTTATCAGAAAATGGTGTTGGATATTGTCCAATGCTTTCTCTGCAGTTGAGAAACTCATGTGGGTTTTCACATATCTATTTTGTATATTACACTGATTGATCATTATATGTTGAACCAACCTAATTCCAGGTATAAATTCCACTTGATCATGATGTATAATCCTTGTAATAGGCTCCTGAATTTGGCTTACTCATATTTTATTGAGGATTTCTGCATCTATATTCATAAGACACAGATCTATAGTTTTCTTCTGACATTTTTGTTGTCTGGATATTTATCTTTAAAAGAATAACTGAGCTGGCTGTTGTCCACACCTATAGTCCTAGCTACTCAAGAGGCTGAGGCAGGAGTATTGTTTGAGCGCAGGGGTTCAAGGCCAGCTTGGGCAACATAGTGTTATCTCATTTACTAAAATTAACTAAAATAGATCCAGGCTCTAAAATCACCATACCCCTAAATGACCTTAGAATAGCAACAAGTTTCTTAGCTATGATACTGAAAACATGAGAAAAAAATAAAAACTGGACTTCATCAGAATTAACTTTCATGCATTAAAGGACACTATCAATAAAGTGAAAAAACTTACAGAATAGAAGAAAATACCTGTAAATCCTATAACGGATAAGGATTGGGTATCCAGACTAAAGAACTCTTACAACTCAATATGAAATAAACTCAATTAAAAAATAAGCAAAGGATAAGTATATGCATGTCAAAATCACACTGAGATACTAGGACCACTATAATAAAAAACAGAGTTGGGGTATAGCTCAGTGGTAGAGCTCTTGCCTAGCATCCAAAAACTATACTACCACCAGGTGCCATAGTGCATTCCTGTAATCCTAGCACTCTGTGAGGCTGAGGCAGGAAGATTGCAAGTTCAAGCTGAGCCTAGGCCACTTAGCAATTTAGTGAGACCCTATCTCAAAATAAAAATAAAAAAAAAAATTAAAAGGTCTGGGAGGACTGGGGATATAGCTCAAAGGCACAAGCACCTGCCTGGCAAGTGCAAGGTCCTGAGTTCAATTCCCAGTACCCAAAAATAAATAAATAAATACATAAATAAATAAATGAAAGAATGAATGAATGGTCTGGAAATGTAGTTTAGAGGAAAGGACCTAGGCTGATTTAATACCTAAGCAAAAATAATACAAAAAATAACAGCAAAAACCTGTACTATCATATAATAAGTTAGTATGACCAAAGTTTTAACTACTTAACAGTTAACCAGCACAGTCCAATGGTGAGGACTTGGGCAGTGTGTTCATGTATTATCAGGTATCACCTCAACCAGTTAATTCTTTTTTTTGAGACTGGGTGTCACTCTGTAGTCCAGGCTGACCTTGAACTCACTATGTAGCGTAGGCTGGCCTCAAACTCATGGCAATCCTCCTGCCTCAGCCTCCCCAGTGCTGGAATTACAGGCATGCACCACCAGGCCCAGCCCGACCAGTTGGTTCTCATATTGAATAAATCTGATAAAATTGTTTTTATATTTTCTGTTGTATTATCTTATAAAAATTAATGAAAAAATGCAACTTTTAGTCATCCTGTATTTAAATAACTGGACTGGTAAGTGGTTAAAACCAGAATCAGGCTGAATATGACTTTCATTTAAGCCAAAACATATACTTTATGCACCTCTGTAAACCACTAAGATCTTGGTGTCACGTTTCCCTCATTGTTTATGTTTTGTTTTTTTTGGGGGTACCAGGACTCAAACTCAAGGCCTTGTACTTGCCAAGCAGGCACTGTGCTGCTGAGCTATATCCCTGATCCCTTTTTATGCTCTTGTTCAAAGAGAAATTTACAAATCAGATTTTTTTTGAGACAGGGTCTCATCATGTAGTTCAGGCTGGCCTTGAACTCTGTAGGTAGCCCAGGCTGGCAGCAAACTCGAGGTGATCCTCCTGCCTCAACCTCCCAAGTCCTGGGATTATAGGTGTAATGTTCTACAAAGGTGCCATCATACCTGGCTTAGAGATCAGATTTGGAACGTCCCGTTTCAATCAAAGAAAAAGGGAATTGGTTTCATTAATTAAGGGTTTATGGAACAAAATTTGTATTTAATCAGATCCATAGATAATCTTTTTCTGGCATCGACATAAAGGATGATAAACTATAGGTGTTAGGTATTTTGGTTTTTATAATTACTTTATTATAGCATCAGCACCTAAATTAAAGTATATCAATATTAAATACTTTGTTGTTTTTTTGGGGGGGACCGGGAATTGCACTCAGGACCTTGTGTTTGCCAGGTGCTTAGGCTGCTGAGCTATGTCCCTGGCCCTATATTAAATACTTTGAAAACCACAATCTTAAAGAAAAACTTACAGGAAAAGACCATATATCACTATGTAAGATGCCAAAATAACCAAATATATAATATTCATTTTAAAACCTCTTATTTTCCGTCAGCATAAATTTCCTTCCTTCCCCATTTTGGCAGCAATTCATTTTAGGTTAAACACAGGAAGCCAGCGCCTAAACTTCACCATTTAGTAATCCTTGGTTAGGTTAATAATCCTTGGTTATTTTAAGATAAAAAGAGGAAGAAGGGATGTACTTAAAATTAACCTTCTGCGTATCCAACTCTTCATCATCATCTGCTTGTGGATCCTTTCTTAGGTGACAGGTGGGTGGATACCTGCCTTATTCCAATACACACCTGGCTGACAGCTATTTTCGAGAAGGCAAATATGGATGTACTCTTAGAATATCTAAACAAGATGAATACCTGAGAGAGTACTTCTGCAAACTTCTTCCTCATCATCTTTTGTTTACTTGGGCAGGCGGAATGTGTATTTTGGTAAGCAATAGTGTATATTCTGCCATCTCAATAATGATAAACTCTGAAAACCTAGTCTTTACATCCTTTATTTTCTGCCTTGGAAAACTGTGGACATAAGCCAGCCATGGTGGCACACACATATAATCCCACCACTCAGGTGGCAGAGGGAGGAAGACTGAAAGAGCAGAGCCAGCTTAGGCTACATAGTGAGTTCAAAGCAGTCTGGACTACATAGCAGACCCTAAGAAAAACAAAACAAAACAAAACAGCCCTCCCTCTCAAAAAAATCTGCAGATAATTTCTCTCCTATGAGTTGCAGCACTCATTGTTTGGCTCTGTAATTTTGTTCCCACCTGTAAAACATGTCCATCAGGCGGGTTTTTTCTTTTCTATGAGACAGGATCTTGCTGTATTGGCCAAGCTGACCCTGAACTCCTGGGCTAAAGCGATCCTCCCACCTCCGCCTCAACAGTAGCTGACAGCACAGGCACAGGCCGCCATCATGCCAATGTTTCCTTTAGAATCAGGTACCTGCTTAGCTTCTCCTCCCTTGTTCACCTTGCCCGCAGGCCATCCCTTTCATCTTTACAACGCTTCCAAAGACTTCAACAACTTTGGCTTCCAATCTTTCAACCTCTGTTTATCCACAAGTGCAGCAAACTGCCAAGCAGTTTCTCAGGCCCAGCTTTAAACCTTTAGCCCCCAACCCCCAAGACAGCAGGAGTGAACCCAGCGCCTGAGCACCGAGCTGCATCTTTCATTCCTCTTTTATTTTGAGAAAGGTCTCACTAAGTTTCTAAATTGCCCAGGCTGGACTTAAAATTTGCAGTGCTGGGATTACAGGTATGCAAGGCATGCATCATCC